CACCCCGTCAATCAACAACAAAAGTAGCCTACTACACTCCTCGTCTTGAGGCATATGTGTGCAAAGTTCGGTCCGGTCTGGTCCAGAATAAAAATTTCTATTTTGCACATACGTACACACGTTCAGATAGATAAACAGACGTTCAGCTTTATATAGAAGACACCAAAGTGTTTCCATTTTGCAGGCTGCTCTCATATGTACAGACCTTATTGTGACCAACTTACTGTGTCCTGCTATCACCAATCCCGAGAACATTGGAATAATAAGTGATACACCAATTAGTCACATCGCCCGTTTCAATCTAATGCAGATCGGTCAGATAATCCAGGTAGTCATTCTTAGAGAGTCTTTTTTCGTGCTATGCTTCCAAGGTCAAATCTCTTTGAGGTAGGCAGCAAAGTTAATTGTTGCTGCATCAATCAGCCATACAGAAAAACCATGATCCATTGCTATGTGAAAAAAAGGGCAATAATACCGTTTAGACTCTTGCGCTAAGCCGTCATGAGACCCCTCAACCACATTTCCAAATTTTTATGTCTCAATTCAAGGATGTAAGTCCTCCTTTTTTGTGAGCACATACAAAACAGACGTTGATTGCTTATGTATATCTTTTCAGAGTCCCATATGTGAACTTATTGGCACACTCCTTGCTCGCTCTCTTGGCTCTCTCGAGTCGCTTTTCCCTCCTATTCTGTGCGAGTCTCATCGAACAACAGAGTTATTACGTCGCCCCTACTTTATCGGTTCAATAGCTGAGGTTAATACTTTGGTGAGTTCACGGATGCGGTCTGAAGAGGCAGTACAATCAGTCTGTTGCAGGCGTCGATCTTGCATTCAAATGCTGCATCTAAAGTTTCTGCTAACGAAGTCCGTGCAGAACTGAACGAACTGCGTAACCGACTACCCAAATTTTTTTCATCGAACATTGCTGCTGTAGATACACCAAAGACATTAACAGAACCGTCCTCCTCTTCGCATCCAAGACAAAATGCTATGAAGGTTTTGTCGGACAAAGGTAAGCAGATGTTGTTCTCAAGCAATCTTGTCCATAGCGTCGTTGCGCATAGTAGAATAGTTTAGTGCATATTTCGTCGTCGAATTCGCCACCACATGGTTACTATCGTTTGAACCATGCACCTAGCACTGAGACTATTTACCCTCCAGAGTACTTTGATGTCGTGGTCTTCCACACTGAGGCACAATCGTAGGTATTTTGAGCCTTGTTGTACATCTAGCCGATTAATCAATGAGATGCTAGGGTTGGATGTGGCATTTTTATTTGAGTCTGAAGAGTTTGTTGACATCTAGTTTTTCAAGTGATCCTGTTGGATTCATCCCAGAGGAGAAGTTTATGGAAAGGTTGGCAAGAGATACCGTAGCGAAGAAGAATAGTGGAGGGCAGAAGCGGACGCGCTTTGTTGAAACTGGAAGTACCAGTATGTCTTACTGTTGTGTTGTATGCGGAGAAGAGTTGATTTTCTTGTTTCTTTTTTTTTTTGATTTAGTTGAATCAGCCATATCCGATCGTACTCCAGACAACGCCTCCGATATAGAGGACACTGGAGAACAGCATGAGGTTGGATCGGTGTCTAGTAGCCAAGAAGCGCCTCAAGACAGGTGCGTTTTTGAGTTTGTAGAAGACAGATTATCGTTACACCTTTCTCTCACGTAATCAGGGTCAAGCCTAGGGTGTGGCACGCTGAACCAGGGGCTCCTACTGAGAGGTCAGAGTCGGGGAGAGGGG